TTATATTATGGTACAAGGCATGTTCAGTGCTTCATTTATTTAGCATATTTTCGTAAAGTTAGCCATTTTGTAGGATTATGGGACATCAATAAAAGTACAAACAAATCATTTATGTGTTTTATTATGCTTATGCTTATTATAATACAATTGAGCGGCGGATTTTAATTGGTCATCGGTTTCCATATATATCATTTTTCCAGTTAAAATTCGATTAATTGACCGGCACCAACTATAAACTAAAACTTTAATAGTCATATCCTCAAAATATGCCCTAAGTTGAGTTTTATGTACGTTACACGAAAAAGGGTATGTTACAAAAATTTCACACAACATTTTCAATTTATTTTTAATTCCATATACTGGGACGTCTCGTTTTAGAAAATTACACGTAATGCTTTGTATTTCTTGAAAGACCTTCAAAGTATCACGACTCGGATAACATAACCATTTCTTTTTTGAATTGTATTCTTTTCTTCTGAGTAATTCATTTGATTCGCTGTTAGTTTTGTCCAATACATTTTCTTCAACCTTTAATTACATTTTTTAAACATTTTGTCAGAACCCAGCCGCAAACATAACTACTTTGTCCTTTATCATTTATTACTTCATTTCCGGTTAGAATCTCCATATTAATTGCAATTTCTTCGTTGTTTTCAGGAATATTAGAACTAGGTCTTTCGGCGAGGAAGAAATCTAAGGTTTCTAAACAATCATTCAACAAAAAAAAAAAAAAAANTTTTAATAAAGTATTTCTTAACACTATTGAATACACATTTTATACATATTTATTTTATTGTTTTACTGTACTTATTATAGATTGCATTTGCAAAAAAATCAATAATCATCACCACATTTTTAACAGAAAGTATACAATTTTATCCATTATTATTTTATATCACACAGGCATGAACTTTATTATTGGAATAATCAAAGTTAATTTTGTTCAAAATGAATAATAAATCTAAGTTTCTTAAATTAGCTCTGTATAATGCGGGTTCACTCAACACAGGTCACGATGATTTCCTTATTGCAATGAACCGTTTTGATGCTGATATAGTAGCAATAAATGAGACCTGGCTATCCGCCGGCGAGGAGGCGCGGGCGCCGGTGGTTCCAGGCTATCGTCTGCGTAACGCCCCGCGCCCTTCCCACGTCCGCGGAGGGAGAGGGGGCGGAGTTGCTTTTTATGTTAAAAGTGACATACGTGTGCGTTTTGTTAGGCACCCCTCTGCCGATATTGAGCAGATGTGGATGTTGGTGAAGGCAAACTCGTACAGTGTGGCTATAGGTACAGCATACAGACCCCCCTGGATGAATATTGAGCTATTCATAGACGCAATAACGGAATCAGTGACTCATTTCTCAGCCAACGACTACGTAGCACTAATGGGTGATTTTAATGTGAATATGTTGGATGATGCTAACCCCAATGTGGTCAAAATGCAACAATTCCTGGAGTGCATGGGTTTGCGGCAGGTGGTCAATGAGCCGACTCATTTTTCGGTTAACAGTAGTACGCTGATCGATCTTGTTTGCACTAACTGCAAAACATGTGAAATATCTGTTTCAAATATTACAGGAAACCTTGGGCATGCAATGATCAATCTAAGCGTAAAGCTGAAGAGAACTAAAATGCGCTCTAGTGTTCTAACTTACCGGCCTTTGAGGAATATAGACCTATTGCAATTAAACACTGATGTACTGCTGATAGATTGGGAAGATATTTATAAACTGTCACACGTGGACCATATGGTTGATAGATTTAACTCACTATTGTTAGGCTTACTGGATAAACATGCTCCTATTAGGACTGTGAGGACAAAATCTAAACCTCAATTGCCCTGGATAACGGATACGATAAAGTTCATGATTAGCTTGCGCAATGATGCTTATGGTGTGTACCGAAAAACAGGCACTGACGTACATGGGAGATATTACAAAGACCTTAAAAGCCTGGTATCAGTGAGCATTCGGAATGAAAAGCGCGCTTATTATAACCACCTAATTAACTCTAATGTTGATAATAGCAAAATATTCTGGAAAAATATGAAGGAAAGAATTTTATTAAATCCCAGTAAAAGCGAGTGTCTGCCTGAGACTTTTGACAATGCCAATGTTATAAACGACCACTTTCTGGGCACACTGGATTCACCATCAGTGCCTCCATCTCAAATAAAATATTTTAATACACACAAATTTAAATTGCCTTCACCTACTTTCAGTCTTGAGCCCGTTAGTGAGGTTGAGGTCTCTAAGTACATTAGAAGCACTAAATCGAATGCGACTGGAAGTGACGGAATATCTAGAGACATGCTTTTACTCACCCTCCCTAGAACCCTTCCAATAATTACGCACATTATAAATGCTTCGATTCGCACAGGTAAAGTCCCCTCACAATGGAAGGAAGCAATAATAACCCCATTGCCTAAGGTAGATTATCCCAAAGATGCTAAAGACCTAAGACCTATAAGTATCTTACCTTTTATGTCGAAGATTCTGGAGAAAGCTATCCACTCACAACTTATGAAATATGTTGAGAGCAATGACATTTTGCCCCCGTTTCAGTCAGGATTTCGCAGGGGTCGTGGTACAGTTACGAGTTTACTTGATGTCACGGATAACATTCTGGCAGACCTCGACGCTGGACTTGGTACCATCCTAACTTTGCTCGATTTTTCCCGTGCTTTTGACTGCATTGATACATCGTTGCTGTTGGCGAAGTTAACATACTATGGTTTGGACCAGCAGGCCATCAAATGGTTCGCAAGTTACCTCAAAGACCGGGTTCAATCTGTAAAACTACGAAGACCAGATGGATCTCATTTATTATCAACTCCTAAAACAGTTGACCGTGGAGTCCCGCAAGGTTCCATACTTGGGCCACTTCTCTTTATTATTTACAGTTCCGATCTTGCTCAGACTGTTAAGCATTGCAACTATCATTGCTATGCAGACGATGTGCAGCTGTACATAGGGACCACTCCCGATAACATATCCTTGGCGGAACGCCACATGAATGAAGACTTGGAAGCCATAGCGAGTTGGTCCGATGGAAACGCTCTTAGGCTCAATCCGGCCAAGTCGAAATTCATGGTTCTTGGTACTAAGACTCAAATTAATAAAATCATAAGTAGTGGCCCCAAAATCTATGTCAAGGGCACAATAGTCGAGCATGTCAGCGAAGCAAGGAACCTTGGCGTTTTGTTCGACAGTGAGATGCGTTACGAGAGCCATGTGATAGGCCTTGCGAGGAGCTGTTTCTATAGACTGGGAATACTGTACAAAATACGCGATTTCCTAAGTGAGAAGTCCCGAATAACACTTTGTGAGTCACTGATTCTATCAAGGCTTAACTATGGTGACCTAGTTTATGGACCTCGTTTGCTTGGTAAATCCAAACGAGTCATCCAGCGTATACAGAACGCATGCTGTCGTTTCTGTTTTGATATACCTCCACGCACACACGTGTCACCATACTTGGCCAATGCTTCTATGCTCAACATGGAAAATCGTAGGCGACTGCATTTGGCATCTCTCATGTTTGACATAGTCAAATTTGGAAAGCCTGAATATCTGTTCGCTAAATTGCAATTTCGTAACTTCCATGAAAGATACGGTGACGGAACATCTAGATCCATGCGGGCCCCATTGGCTGTACATAAACATAAAACTGTCGCTTTCGCGGGCAGTTTCCGCCACCAGGCAACTAGGTGTTGGAATGACTTGCCCCCCCCTCTTAGACGCATTCATTGTAAGAACACCTTTAAATCAAAATTTAAAACAATTATACTTGATGCACAAAAAGAAATGACGCGGATTAAGTTGCCTAAAGCACTTGTGCCTGGGAGGCGGAGTTAGCCTGTGGTGGCTTGAGTGGATATGATTTCATTATTTTATTATTGTTATTAATCATAAACATAAATGTGGGTATATCATTCATTATCATACACCTTCACACTGAATGCCTCATTATTTTGTATTTGTTATTTATGTAAAAATATTATATTATATTCATCGTCATCATCATTTTCAGCCATGTAAAATTATTGTGGATATAAAGTAGGTAACTAAATTCTCCATTTTACACTATTAAGTCTCATACTCCTTTTCATAGACTGATGGTATATGTATGTATAAACCATATAAGGACAATAGTTATAGTTATTATATTTCCCTAATTTCTGATATTTATGTAGGTTTACAATATTACAACATTTTCACCACCTTATTCTCTACCATACACGTGCGTCTTCCTTCTTTCTTTTCCTTCTTTTTTTTCAAGCAAGAGCTGAAAATCAGTGTTCTGCTCATTTCAGAGCAGTGTCTACACTGAGCTCTCTGCTTTTTTGCATCGCTGCGGCACACTTATACCTTAGCGCGCAGGATTTTCTTTCTTTCTCTTTGTAATGTACTATATCTTTCCTGCTACTCCTGTGTTTATTAATCTTACGTTTTGCTTCTTGTGTGTCAATGTGTTTTGCAAATAAACCATTTATCTATCTATCTATCTATCTATCTATCACACTCCCCACTAATTCTAAAGCACATCTTTTTTAAAAAGGCACTTCGTTCTGTTCTTAAAAACTTAATTAATTTTATAAATATTGTAAATTTTAATTCAATAATTTATTTATTAATTTATTGTAATTGAAAAAGTAGTTTGAGTTGACAAAATAGTGACGTCACTGCCTAGTATTACCATACAAAACATACCATACAACATCTTTGGGAGAGTCTCGTTTTGACAGTTTGAAAAGTACGTCAATGAGTTTTTTCGCGAATGACAAATCCGCCAGATGGCAATACGTAGACGCGAGGTCCAAATGCTGCATGATTGGTTATTTTTGACATGACATTGACAGATATGTCAAAATCCACCAATCACGCAGCAGTCAGACCACATATCCACGTCCCGCCATCTAGCGGATCTTATAACGCGTAAACCCTCATTGGTTGGTGGTGGCAAATACCCTATTAAAAAAAATGTCTTCCACACACAGGCAAGCCTCTATCCGAGCTGTCAACAGTCAGAACAACGATCGGAGACGCGTTACTGGACCTCTATGCTAGCGAGAGCAGCGAATACTTCACAGCAGGCCTGATGGACGGGTACGAGGATCCTGACGCTGAGCTGGAGATGGCTATGTGCAGGTAAGTTCCCTTTTCGTCGTTCCCCTTTTCCCTTTTCGTCTTTCCCCTTTACCCTGTCGCCTGACTCTTTCCACTTTCCCCTTTGCGCTTTTTTTCCCCATTTTATCGCATTTGCACATACTAGAGTGGCGCCACTGTAGAGTAAGGTCCTGTCGCTCCGCCCTCTGCTAAGTATAGCGCTAGCCCTCATCGGAGACGCGTTACTGGACCTCTACGCTAGCGAGAGCAGCGAATACTTCACAGCAGGCCTCATGGACGGGTATGAAGAACCTGACGCGGAGCTGGAGATGGCTATGTGCAGGTAAGATTCCCTTTAGCCTTTCCCCTTTTCTCTCGTCCTTTTTCCCTATTCCCCCTTTTCACTTTCCCTTTCCCTCTTCCCTATTACTCTTCCTACATCCTCCTATCCCTTCCCTATTCCCTCTTCGCTCTTCCCCTTCCACCTTCCCTCTTCCCCTTCTACCTTCCATCTTCCCCTTCCACCTTCCCTCTTCACTCTTCCCCCTTCTTCCTACCTCCTTCCCTTTTTTGTTTTCCCTCTTCGCTCTTCCCCTTCCACCTTCCCTCTTCCCCTTCCACCTTCCATCTTCCCCTTCCACCTTCCCTATTCACTCTTCCCCTTTCTTCCTACCTCCTTCCCTTTTTTGTCTTCCCTCTTAGCTCTACCCTTCCCTATTCCACCTTCCCTCTTCCTCCAACCCTCTTCCCACTTCGCTCTTCTCATTCCCTATTCCTCCTTCCCTCTTCCGCCTTCCTCAAAGCCCCTTCCCTTTTCTCTCTTCGGCCTTCACTCTTCCCTCTTCCCCCTTCCCTATTCCCTCTCCCCCCTTTCTTCTTCCGCTTCCCTCTTCCTCCTCCCCTTTTCCCCATTACCTCTTCCCCTTCCCTCTTTTCTTTTTCCTCCGTCCTCTTTTCCCTTTCCCTTTTCCCCTTCCCTTTCCCTTTTCCCCTTTACCCTTTCCTCTTTTCCCTTTCCTCTTTCCCCCTTCCCTTTCCCTTTTCCCCTTTACCCTTTCCTCTTTCCCCCTTCCCTTTCCTTTTCCCCCTTTACCCTTTCCTCTTTCCTCTTCCCCTCTCCCCTTAAGCCCTTTCCCATATCCGCAATGAATCCCCCGCAATATCCCATATAGTGAACATGAAATGTTGTGGTGGAAATAAAAAAAATATATATTTATTTATTTATTTACACTTGCACATACAACTGTACAGTGTAAAATATTTATTTAAAAAAAAAAGAAATATTTACTTTCATTATTATGATGTTGGCTTTGTCCCCAGGATCTTCATGACGAACCACGGCCTCTCATCCATGATGCGTCTGCTAGCCATCCCCACTCTAGAGAAAGAAGAGGAATGCAAACAGATCCTTAACGACATGCGACATCTGGTGGCTAGAGGAGACAGCTTGGACGGAGTCAGCATGTATGTCGGTAAGTGCAAACTCTTGACAGGACCTGAGCTCCCCTGGCTTACCTGGAAGTCTTTTAATAGACTTCAGACGCAGGTTGGCCGTAGTAAGGACAATCTGGTCAGGTGGGGATTCTTGGATGGCTTAAACATGGAGTGCAGGTGCGGTTTTGTTCCCCAGTCGATGAAGCACCTGATGTCGTGCCCTGAGTGCCCAAGCAACTGCACTTAGGAGGATTTGATGAGTGCTGCTGACAACGCCACTCTTGTGGCGGAGTTTTGGGCTGACACTGTGTAGGTTTGTTGTCGACACGAAAAGAAGAAGTACAAACTCTTCAAACGTTAGCCCTGGTTTCTAGCAGAGCGGAGAAGTGTTTTGAATAACCAATCAGTGTGCTTACCATGAGTTTACGTTAGGTGTGCTCGCTAGCGACTGCGTAAAAATGACATTAATTGTATGACATTGTGCAGCGGCCCTAGCGGCTACTTTCAAGAAACAAAATCTTCCTAGAGATTTTTGACGTACTCGCTAGCGAGCACACCTAACGTAAACTCATGGTAGGTACACAGATTTCATTATTTCGACATCTTCATTCCGCTCCGTTCGGTGGAAATGGATCGAGCGGAGAAAAGAAAGTTTTGGGTGGACTAATTTTTCTATGGAATTTGACAGCGGCGGCGGAGCGGTGCGGTGTTTCATAGACAGCAATAGACTGACAGCTGACAGCTATAGGTACACAGCCCTCGTCTCATATCCTCTCCGCTATTCTCCGCTTCGCTTTGGTGGTAATGGCCTGCCAGCTTCGCCGCACAGTTCATCTCGTCTCCGCTCCGCTCCGCTTTGGTGGAAACCGGGCTTTATAGGTCGCGCAGCGAAAGTTGATACGAACAGTAAGTAGCGCAACGAGACACAAGCAATATTTGTATCTGTCCAGTCGTTCATGACTTATTTGTCTTTGATCGGAATGAGTGAATCTCTCATTAATCCGTTTAAGATCCCAATTCATACATAATCATCATCATCATTTCAGCCATAGCACGTCCACTGCTGAACATAGGCCTCCCCCAATGATTTCCACATCGCCCGGTTGTTAGCGGCCTGCATCTAGCACCTTCCTGCTACCTTTATGAGGTCACGGTCCTACGCTGCACTTTCTGGTACGTGGCCTCCACTCCAGAACCTTGCTGCCTCATCGGCCATCAGTTATGCGTACATAATATTAGTTGATTAAAAATACGTTTGTTACAGCTTTAAACGGTATCCACCACGCGGGCAAAATGATGTCAGAAGAGATCAGGCAGGTCAGGAATCCACTATTTCATCCCGCTTTTATCTTCAAGAAGGTGATCGCCAACAGGAAACAGGTAAGAAAAAACTCTTTATTCACCTGATCAACTTTAAATTCTGGCAACTAGTGGTGATTGAGTTTGTTCCGGCGTTTCTTCTCAGCACTTGCCGTATGTTTGTCTCGAAGCGCTGGTAGGGCCCAAAAGATAAGGAGACATGTAAAGTGCCCCATAAGGGCTACCTTTTCTTTTTTTATTATTTACTATATTTTGACGTTCATAAGTGCCACTTGTGGTGTAAACTGAATAAATATTTTTGATTTTGACTTTTTGATACAGGGAATCAAAAAAAACATTGAACTCATTCATGGGCTTTGTCATATTATTGCCACTTGTGAAACAGCGCCATCTACCGAGACTATAGATGATCTAAATCGATAGCTTGTTTACCATAATCAGAGTAAATACAAATGAGTAGGTCATCTTCATAGAAACGCACCGAGCGCGGTTTGTATGTGAGCGCGCCAATACGTATGCGGCGCGCACGCACACACTGCAACTCCCCGCTAATCCCCGCTAAATTTTNGCACGCACACACTGCAACTCCCCGCTAATCCCCGCTAAATTTTGTCAGTGTGTGCGTGCGCGCCGCATACGTATTGGCGCGCTCACATACAAACCGCGCTCGGTGCGTTTCTATGAAGATGACCTACTCATTTGTATTTACTCTTCCCATAATGTTGTCTCGAATTGGTGGTAGGGCAAGCTATATTTGGGACGTGTATAAGTGCCCTGGAAAGGGCCTATGTACTGAATAAACTATTTGAATAGATAGCGAGCGTAATCACGCTATTGACACCAATCAATTGACGTACTTTTAAAAACTTTCAAACGAGACTCAGATTTTGCATGGCAATAAAAGCTAGTGACGTCACTATTTTGTAAACTCAATTACACTACTTTTTTTTACGGATATTTTTTTTTATTTCGGATATCCGATAGTTTCGGTTACGGTTACGGATATCCATAACATCCCTGATTACAACGCAACCAAAAATTTTAATTTACAGGTACAGAATTAAGTCTCTCCTTAAAAAACTTGTGATTTCGAATCATTTGGAAATGGTATCAAATTGTCTATTTGAATTTGCTCTTCTTTTTCATAATCATAATAATTTTATTGTCAATACTGTGTACAAAAGGTAACCGTGTGTGTTAACCGACTTCAAAACGGAGGAGCTTAATCTGGTTGGTATTTTCAGGAGAAAGATGACCCGAAACTGACCCTATACCTCATAGAACACCTCCATCCGACTCTCAAGCAACCAGCCGAAGATTTAGAGTACTCCGTATTGAGGATGAGATACGCTTGCGAGACCATGATGAGCAGGCACGGAGTTGAAGTGGGGAAGGCTTTCACGTGAGTTCTTATAATAACTTGAAAAACCAAACTGCCTAAGGCGGGAATCGAACCCACCACCTTTCACTTGCCGGGCGACTGCTCTTCCATCTGAGCTAAAGCCCGGTCTGTGAGCACGTAGAATTTTGTCCAATGACCCCAAGCTACCCATCCTTATCGCTCGCGCGTAATTATATTGCTGTCGCGACTGTGCGACGGGCGCCCGCAGTGAGCGTGCGAGCTTGAGGTCATTGGACAAATTTCTACGTGCTCGCAGACCTGACTATACTTATGCCCGTTTTCATAATCGTTCCCTAATTTTTAAGTGACCCCTATACTAACACTAAACAGGATTTTTTTTACATAGGGGTCAGGTCACTTAAAAATTAGGGATTGATGGTGAAAAAGGGTAGACACTGGTTGAATCAGTTGAAATTTTCACGTAAGTTTTTGGAAGTAAAAAGCCGGTCAAATGCCGATTAAAGGTCATAGCACACTTATCAACCCGGAAAGGGATCAAAATCGTGTTACCTTTCGCCCTGACGGGGCGTTTACGTTACGGTGCGGATAAGTGTGCGATGGAGTTTCATACAAAGAATACTGACCGCTTCGAGTTGACACGGCAACGATCCGTTTCGGGGGTGATAAGTGAGCTTCGTCCTTTAAACCGCCTCTGTAGTCTAATGGTAAGACCACCTCCTTCAGACCCAGAGTCCCGGGTTCGATTCCCAGTGGGGGCATTTTCTGCTCGGTTACTGGTAGGGCTTGTTCTTAAGTCCTTTCTAGCTACCTCCATCCGACCCTCAAGCAACCAGCCGAGGACCTGGAGTACTCCGTATCGAGGATGAGATACGCTTGCGAAACCATGATGAGCAGGCACGGAGTTGAAGTGGGGAAGGCTTTCACGTGAGTTTTAGGCCCGCCATACATGGGCAGCTCGAGCAGTTAGCCAATGATAAACATACACGGACCGCTCGAACAGTTGCAACTGATTCGGGCGGTCGACCATCCGAATCAGTTGCAACTGCTCGAGCGGTTCGTGTATGTGCGTCCATAGAACTCGGCAGTTCACTGTGCAGTCGCAGCTTGAAGCTGTCTTAGCTGACTTATACAGAGTGTCCCAAAAAGTAGTGTCAAGCCGAAACCCAGGGGTAGAGCATCACTAGAGCTATCCAAATCACTACATTTTGGGACACCCTTATCCACAAAAAAAAATTACAAACGAAAGTGGAATTTTAGCGAATATTTTTCGTGCGACATCAACTGTGCTGTGGCTCGCAATACTGCAATACATTTACACTGCATTGAGCTACGCGGGTCGCTCGTTTGTCATGTCGGATAGCCTACTGAAGGAAACCACGTAAAGTAGGTAGTGTAAATAGGTATTTTTCTTTGACTAATCAAAGTTAAAGTTCGATTTAAATTTTTTTCGAAGTAATTTTTTTACTAATTTTTGATCAGAATAAGCTACTTAATCAACTCCCTAAATATGGCGACGATTGAAATGAATACCCTGTATATTATTATCATTAGTATTTAGACAAAATGTTGATTAATTGTTTCAGAGAGCTGAACAGGTTAGCTGAAGCGGCGACTGAGATATTGGCCATGACATCAGTGTTAGCAAGAGCGTCCAGGTAATATTAAAATATATTTCAGGTCTAATTAGACTTAAAAATGTAGAAAAACTTTAGTACGTTTTTTACCATTTTTACCCTAGGTAACATTACCTACTTTTATCCATAATTATTTAATTATTCCGCCATCCTATGCCATAATAAGTGGTGTCAGAAGTATTCATACATTGTCAGACGATATCACCCTATGTCGCGTTAAGTATTATATTATGTCAGAAGTACTCGTCAATGCCGGAAAAACTCATGCTATTTTTGTATGACGTCATCCTATGTCGCATGCAAACATCTTAAATATGTCGAAAAAACAGGCCAAGTCATCTTTTGCCAAAGTGAAATGTTCCTATTTTTGGAGATTTGAAGCGAAGTTATTTTTTTAAAAAGAGAAAACAACGATTTCACCTGATTTTATTAACAAACCGGAAAATTACAAAAANGAATTGAACCCACGAAGCAAGCGGAAGGTCGTGGGTTCAATTCCCGCCTTAGGCAGTTCGATTTTTTCAAGTTATTTATAATTTTCAAACATCTTGCTAGGTTCTAATTAGGTACTTTCCTAGGGGCTTTCTTTAGGCCTATCATGTCAGCCTTGTCAACTATCCCAATGGAAAGGGTGCTTAATAAGGCTTTTAATTAGACTAGAAATTGTTTCCTTAAAAGAAGCAATTTTATATTAAAATCAAATACCTACTTGCGATAACAAGTGACATATCTGTAAGAGTTTTCAATTTAACTAGTTTTGGAGATTTGAAGCGAAGTTATTTTTTTAAAAAGAGAAAACAACGATTTCACCTGATTTTATTAACAAACCGGAAAATTACAAAAATACCCTCAAAATAAATTAACAAAATACGTAGCAGAGCGATGTTGCTAGGTTGACGATCCGAGGCAAAGTGAACCCGATGCTCGGCGCGCGCTGCCTTTTATAGCATCCGCAGTCACAGTACTACGGCGTTCCCAACACGGCCTCTCCTGACAGGAGACCGTCCTCGGGCTCCATCTGTTCTTCCTCCGTCCAAAGAATGGGCATGGAGAGCCCTGGTCTTGACTCAGATATATGTGGAACGGACGTGTCTTCCGTCGAGTTTTCCGTGTCTGGAACATCTGGTGCCGGTGCTCGAGATGTGCTTGGCTGCTGTCCGTCGTCCATGGGCAGTCCCAACACTTGCTCGGGTCTTGAAGACTGCTCACGGGGTTCTTCAGCGCCTTCAAACGCTTCCACCTCGTCAGCATCAGCATCTGGATATGCACAAAACATCAAAACTTAACAAACTGTCATTGATCTGACATAGGTCTTTCTAACATCCAGCAAATACAACTGCTAGTGCATAGGCACAGCGTTAGCGTACACTAACAGTTGCAATGCAACGCTCAAACACAGATCAAACGTTAGCGATTACTAGCGCATAGGCACGACGTTAGCTTACGCCCGTAATTGCAACATTTAAACTTATCGCTTGCAATTGCCAGAGAAGAAGCACGACGTTAGCGATCTCTAACAATAGCAACGATCACCACAACATCACAGTTGTACGTACACAGTCACCAATCAGGTAACACCAGTAAACACATGCTTGCAATTGTTAGTGCATAGGCACGACGTTAGCATACGCTAACAATTGAAAACACTCCAAAAAAACACAATGAGCCCCTAACCAACATTAAATGCCCGCAATCGTCAGTGCATAGGCGCGACGTTAGCGTACTCTAACGATTGCAACACTTAACAGGGAACTCAAAGCAAATAAATATCAAGCACATGAAACTACCAGTGCCTAGGCGCGGAGTTAACGTACATCACAAATCACCGTGTTTTACAAGTAAACAAAGAGAAATATGCTGTAGATCTCACCTTCAAAATAAGCGGCACACACCTCAGGGGTCCATTCACCCCGCCACGGGGTCATGTACTCGGAAGCTGCTTGAGTCAGCTTCCCATATGACCCAGCCACCAGCTGTAGCTCGTAGCGTCCATGGGGTAGTATCTTCACTATGCGATATGGACCACGCATACCTGAGTCCAGTTTCCCAGTTGATTGTGCCTGCTTTCTGACAAAGACTAGTGAATTAAGCTCATACCCTCGAGGTGGTCTTCGTCCCCGATTGACGTAGGAATCCTGGTCTTGTTGATTCTGCCTAAGTCGCTCCGAGGCTCTTTGTCTGCTCATCTCCCGTAAAGCTTCCCTATTAGGACTGGAGCCCTCCAAGGCCACATCACGTACCAGGCCTCTGATAAGAGGCGTTGCAGCATCGATACCCACCAACAAGTTTAGAGCAGAGTATTGAGTTGTTCGGTGTTTTGTGATGTTCAGTATCAGTTGGAGCTTCCACATGACACTGGGCCACTTGTGCTGCCGGTAATTGGATTCGATGCGTATCATATTGAGCACCGTCCGGCAGTAGCGCTCCACTTGACCGTTTGACTGATGCATCTCGGGCGTAATGAGATGTGTATCGCACCCTAATCCCGTAACAAACTCGAGAAATTCGACGCTCTGAAACATGCGGCCCCTGTCAGCCACAATCAACTTAGGAGTCCCAAATAGAGAAATCGCATTGGTAACGTGACGTTTTAATTCGCTTGCATCTTGTCGATACATGGGATATAAAAGACAAAACTTCGAGAATGCGTCGATCACTATAAGGACATAGCGATACCCATCTGCTTCAGGGAGAGGGCCCAAGACGTCCATATGGACAGTCTCAAAAGGTAATTCGGGCTTCTCCCAAGAGTGAATAGGTTGGAGAGGCGCTCGCGCAATCTTTTTGTGAGAAATGCACACCAAGCAGTGTGCGACGTATTTCTGAACAAACCCCCGTAAGCCCGGAAACCAGAAATGTTTCAATATCAAATCGACTGTCTTATCAACCCCAGGATGTTCGTGTTCGTCATGGAACACACGAAGCAGACTTAATCTGTGTCCCTTTGGTATGAAACAGAGGAGTCGAGAAGGCTCCCCAGTAGGGGTATACTTGGCATAAAGGAGGTCGTTTCTAACGACATAGCGAGTCGCATCCAGTTGCCCATCGGAAAGCTTCTGGATGAGAGTCCGGGTTTCTTCATCGGACGCCTGTGCAATCTGTGCCCAGGTCTGTGGTCTTTGAACCGTGCACACATTCACAGGATTTCGACTTAAATAGTCGGCATGTGACATGAGCGAGCCTTTGCGATAGTCCAGGCCAAAATCAAAGTCTTGGAGGTATACCCACCACCGGGCCACCCTGGGAAGCAAGTCTTTCTTGCGCTGAGTGAGTTTAAGCGCATTGCAGTCTGTGACCACGGTGAAACGTACACCCACAAGATAGTGCCTGAAATGCTGCAGGGCTTTAACTACAGCGAGGGTTTCCAGCTCATACGAGTGGTATTTACCCTCAGCTCCCTGTGTCAGCTGGCTGTAGTAAGCTACCACCCGCTTGCACCCACCCTCGTGCACTTGCATAAGAACAGCCCCGTAACCGGTGGAGCTTGCGTCAGTATGGACCTCGATAGGCAAGGAAGGGTCGTAGATCGCTAATACTGGCTCACTGGTAAGTGACTGAATAATATCATTCCGAGCTGCCTGCTGCTCTGCACCCCATTTAAATTCTACCCCTTTACGAGTCAAAGCCGCAATACAAGCAGTTTTCAGTGCAAAGCCAGGTATGTATCGTCGGAAGTAGCTAGCTAGGCCCATGAACTGGCGGACCTGTTTAACATTATTTGGTTCTGCAGTATCTATCAGGGCCTTAACCTTATCACGACTCGGCCTCACCTGACCCTCACTAATGCTACGGCCAAGATATTCGATATCCGTCGAGAGAAAGGAACATTTCTTCAGATTTATCGAAAACCCGGCATCAGTTAATGTCTTAAGTACATCGCGCAAGAGAACAAAGCCACGATCTAAGGTCTTACTCAGAATTAGTACGTCATCGATGTATACGAGGATTTCTCCAGATTCTATGAATTCACGAAGTGTTTTCGTGATGATCCGCTGGTACACAACTGGTGCGTTTGCCAGACCATAGGGCATTTTAAGATATTCGTAATGCCCTTCGGGCGTTACGAAGCCAGTAAGCGGTACAGACTCCTCTTGCAAAGGAATCTGATGAAATCCCGTAGCCATGTCGAGGCTCGTGAAGTACTTATTGTGACCTAACCGATCAATGTGGTCGTCTATTCGGGGTAATGGAAACCGGTCCTTTACAGTCACCTCGTTCAATTTACGGAAATCTACACACATTCTATCTGAGCCATCCTTCTTCTTCACGAGAAGAATAGGACTTGCGTAATTAGACTCAGATTCCTGTACTATTCCCTTACTCAACAAGTCTTTAATTATTTCACGGACGCGCAGAGTCTCCGCGAGCGATAGGCGATAAGGACGGTAGGTAATAGGCGCGCAACTGTTCAGTTTGATAGTCATACTGCCCGTATTTACGGTAGAAGTCGCAGTACCAGATATAAGATGTTGTGAAAACTCTTGAATTATTTCCATTAATTGTTGCAAATCATTATCAAGCAAAGGTGTGTTAATGGGGATAGACGCATCAAACTGAACTGCCAGCACTTGGTCAGGCTTAACTACTTCCCGAGTAAGTATCTGAGAGTCACGCGTACGAATATACCGGACACCCTCTCTATTTAGGACATCAGTGCCCACTAAAACTGGCGTGTTCATAAATTCGGAAGCTACCACGAATAGATCAACCTCAAGTGTCACGCCATCGAATTCTATCGGCAAAGTCACATAGGAAGTGCTTTCAAGTTCCTGACTACCTAAGCCCTTCAAAACACGGAATGTCGGCTTATGTGTGCAATTAAAATGCTTCAATAATGATGATGAAATGAGCGATATAGTTGACCCACTGTCAATCAAAACATCAGTCGGTATGCCTTGAATAACGGCCGCAATAACATCACTACGCTGACTAGTTGGGCTTTCACGACAGAAATTCACGTTGTTTTGATTACGCGATTCGGCCCTTTGCTTGGCAAAGCAGACTTCGACCTTGTGACCGACCTTT